CCCGATCAGAATCTTCCAGGATCAGCAGGTTTTGCTGATCCAGGATAAAAATAATCAGTTTCTGGGACTGATTTGGGACGATCCGGGTTTGGTTCTGGTTCACCGACTGCCACTGAACTAAAACTGACTGAGCCTGCTGGGGCTTTTATTTTGAAGTGCCGTGCTGTGATTGGTGGAATGACTGTGTTGCTGTCATGTCTGCTCGTCCTCAGTGGGTCGGAGGTCGTTACTCACTGTGGTCGGCCATCGGTTTGTCCATCGCTCTGCATGTAGGTACGTCACTGAGCCAGGGGGCGGGGCTTGATGACCTCACTGATTCTAGCTGCAACTAACGATTATTCTAATGATTAACCAGAGGAAAAGATTTTATATTTTTAATGCAATATTAGAAATGCATTAAAAATGTAAATAAACAAATGAGTCCTTTTTAAAACCAGAAAACAAACATGTTTGTTGCCTAAAATTTAATAACAAAGCATCCCTTTAGTGAACACTTGACAATTTGGAGCAAAAATGTATCTGTAGCTACAGATCTGATGATTTATTAAGGTAACTGAGAAATAATTGGATCTTTGTACAGTTTTGACTTAATTACAGCAATTGTCCTTTTTTAGAGTCTGTATGCACAGGCCAGTCATGATATCTGCCTTTGCTGGACGATAAATTGTCCCAGAAGTTACGATAAACGATAATATCGCTGTTTTGAGATATAGTAATGGGATAACAAGAACACATTCTCAAAGATCAATAAAACTTTAAATTCTAATGAACATTTAAGACTGGAACTGGAAGACATTCAAACATCCCAAATAAATGAACAAAACTACAAATAAAATGAATTATGACGTCTCTGTTAGACTGTCGTAGTTCACACCACAATACCAAACTGAAGCCTTTTGTCATCCAGTTTTTGGTAGAAAGAGAGAAATAATAAATCATGCAAATGGAAATTGTTGAGTTTAAATTTTTCATGTGATTAATTGAATTATTGATTACTGTGACAGGCCTATGTCGGCGATTACTAAATTTGTTGACGATTATTTCAATAATCGATTCATTCAACTGTGACTGAGGCCTGATGATGATGATGATGATGGAGATCTGCATGATGCTTTCAGATGCCAGTTCTCCACCGTTAAGTCACCTTTACGGCTGAACGATGTGGCTTAAAAAGAAAAGCTGGATTTCTTTCATGAAAGATTTGATTTTCCTGCTTGCTTTTCTAAAGAATGATTTACAACTGACAAAATATTTTCAAAAATATTTAAATTACCCCTTCCTTGAGTTGTATGATGGAGTATTAGTGATTTTGTCATTTTCACAGTCGTCTTCTGTTTGTTTTTCAGGCTTCGAAAACTTCGAGCAGCTTCTGTCAGGAGCTCACTGGATGGTAGGAGAACATTTCAAGTTTGGGTTTTTTATTTTGGAGTCAGAACAGAAACAAGTCAGTTTGTATGAAATATGTATTGTGTTTGTATGAAGATGGTTTGGGCCTGTACATGCTCTAAATAGAGGGGCTGCAACCTTTACAGTCCAGCTAAATAAAACGCATTCAGGGCTCCATGTGTTACATAACCTTTGGTAAAAATAGATTTTTAATAAATATTTATTATAGAAAATGTGTGGTGCTATTTAAAGAATCTGCTTTTTTATGTAGGTTTTAAAACTAAGAAAACATAAAACATTACAGATTGATGCACTGTTTTTTATGGGATGTTAATTGTGGAAAATGACTTAAAATAATTTCCAATGTAATTATGAGGTAAAATAATAAATAGTACTGATATGTGTATCATTCAAATTTATTGAAGGATTTATTCCACGTACAAAAAAAGCGACTTTAACAGAGATAATAAATGTAAAAGTCTTTATTAATCTTTGAAGTAGAGATGCAAATAATCGACTTACGATTGTCGATTAATGGTTTATTTTATTAAAATTGGTTCCAATAGATTAATAACACATGCTTGGTGTTGTAGTTTGGCCCCCATCCAGCAGAGGGCGCCGCTTGTCATCCTGAAGCGGTGAATCGGTGTGGGATGGAAAATGCACTTTATGCGGTTCTGTTATGAAATATAAACACTCAATGATCTTAAATTTCACTTTTTAAAAAAAATCCAGCGTATTATGGAATATTTAGCCTTTAATGTTGTGGAAAGATGTTCGACTCTTATGTAAGGGATGACGAAGGTTTTTAAGAAAATGGCCGCTTATTAGTTAATCAATCAATGAGTTGATCCAAAGTTGATTGATCGTATTAATCAATAGCATGTATCATGAGCTCATCTGAAACTGGACCTACTTTCTCTCCAGGACAACCACTTCCGCAGCGCTCCTCTGGACCAGAACGTCCCGGTTCTGCTGGCCCTCCTGGGCGTCTGGTACGTCAACTTCTTCCAGGCCGAGACGCACGCCATGCTGCCGTACGACCAGTACATGCACCGCTTCGCCGCCTACTTCCAGCAGGTCAGCTCGGTTCCGACCTTCGGCGATGAGTTTTGATCGACCCGATCCAGACAGCTGACCCGTGAACCCACCTGTGTTCCCAGGGCGACATGGAGTCCAACGGGAAGTACATCACCAAAGACGGCAGCCGCGTGAACTACCATACGGGACCAATCGTCTGGGGGGAACCGGGGACCAACGGACAGCACGCCTTCTACCAGCTCATCCACCAAGGTGACTGGGTTTAACTGGGTGTACTGGTTCCGTCTGTAGCCGCCAGCAACTCATCACAGACCGGATGTTCGCTCCACAGGCACCCGGATGATTCCTGCTGACTTCCTGATTCCTGCTCAGTCCCAGCATCCAATCAGAGACAACCTGCATCACAAGGTAACACTTCCTGCTCACCTGGATTTATATACTGGTTTTACTGGGAGGTTTACAAAATAGTCAGATTTCAGTAAATGTGGATGGAAAATTATTTTCAGATGGTACAAACTGATATTGGATGATTAAAAAAAAAGTCTAAATTGTGAACAAATAATGACAATAATATTTTATAATTGTAGTTGATAAATAAAATAGTCATTTGTTTTGTAGTGAGTTCACATGTTTGTGGTTTGAGATTTTAAAAAAACGAGATGAATGTTAAATAATTAGTCTTATTAATATTTATATCAAAATGAAAAGTTTTGATATTATGGTATATAATATATTTATATTATATTTACATTTTTATGTTTTAATTTTAACTCTCCCTGACCCTTAAATTTACTAATTTAAAAAAATTACACTATTTTAATAGTTTTTATCAGTTTAAATACATTTTCACAAATGTTTTTGTGATGGAATTTTATAAAAACATTATTTTATAGCTTTGGTTTCTTTATCGATGCACATATACAAGCCATATAGGTGCATTGTCATTTCACTCGATTTTGTTTAAAATGTTGTAGTTTTTCCCACTGTAGCTCTCCTTAACGTTACTGGTTTACCTTGTAGTCCCAGCTCTGGATTTTGATTTAATGTTTAGTTGTTTATATTGGATGGATGTAACATAAATAAAACGGCTGCCACACCAGCATGTATTCAAACCTGAGGTACAACCAGCTGAATAATTCAGGTAATTCATGCTCTCAGATCCTCGTGGCTAACTTCCTGGCTCAGACTGAAGCTCTGATGAAGGGAAAAACCTCAGAGGAGGCTCAGAAAGAGCTGGAAGCAGCGGGAATGTCGGGAGACGCCCTGGAGAAGCTGCTGCCACACAAAGTAAGCACGCCCGCCTCTGCGGTTCTGTTTGGTCTGTTCGGCTCCAGTTTAACAGTCTGACGTCTCCTTCAAAGGTTTTCCAAGGGAACAAGCCCAGCAACTCCATCGTTTTCAAGAAGCTGACTCCGTTCGTACTGGGAGCGCTGATTGGTGAGTACTGGAAGTCGGATGGTTTTAACCAATCACATTGGAGCAGCCAGAAGCTTATTGGATATTAAACTTCCTGGTTTTGATCAGCTAAAGGTAAATGTGACCTGTCCTGTTTTTCAGCCATGTATGAACACAAGATCTTCGTCCAGGGCGTCATGTGGAACATCAACAGCTACGATCAGTGGGGGTGAGTTTGATTCAGGGTCTTAAATTTGTGTTTCTAACATTAAGGCCTTAAAAAGCTGTCAGTTTTTTTTTCCCCTCACTGAACTTTAATGTCAGACGAACATTAAACCGAAAGACTTTGACTTCCTGCTGTATCCGAGCTTCAGAACCTGGTAACACCAGCAGGACTGTGAAGTTTAATCTGGTCCTCCAGTTGTCCGTCTCTCTCTGATGATGCGTTCAGTGACATCACAGTTTTGTCTCTTTGTTTCCAGGGTGGAGCTTGGGAAGCAGCTGGCGAAGAAGATCGAGCCAGAGCTGAAGGACGCCTCTCCGGTCTCGTCTCACGACTCGTCCACCAACGGCCTCATCAACTTCCTGAAACAGAACTTTGCCTAAGCCCCGCCCACCTGTCTGTCCTGCTCTGTGATTGGCTGAACTGTGTTGTTTTGAGTGTTGAGTCTTCACGTGTTGCTTTTCAGTGTTGATCTTGTGCACATGTTCCTGTAGGGACCATCTGAGTGATAGCTGAGACTTTCACAATAAAAGCCCCATCTGTCACAGATTGGTTTCTATTGTCTGATCAACTCTGAATGTGAATAATCAACCTGCCACATCTAACTCTGGATGAAAATTTAAAATAGAGATGTAGAACCTCCCAACTTTTTTTATTGAAATATTGGACAGGTGAAGTTGAATTAATTTAGACATTGTATTTACAAAATAAATTTTTCAGATTGTGATAAATGCCAACTTAATTTTGACCTGCTTAGAAAAGTTCGGATGCCATTGTCCTTAGACAAAGTTTGCATTTCGATGTAGCGTCCAACTTAAATTAATTGGTTTAATTTGAAATTTCATCACTTGGTCCTAATCTATTGTAGATTTTCTCTCCAGATTTGAGGCCTTCTTGGCACCTAATAGAGGACTACAGCTCCATCTTTAAACGGATTCAAAGAAAAGCTTACAAATTCAATAAAACAGACATTTTTCCTTTTTTATGTTATTAAAGATGGTACACCTGCTCAGGTAAGTTCTTAAATTTCTGAAATATCCTTTTATGGAGGGTGCATGAAGGTTTCAGTTTATTTAAAAATATTCCTGTCTGCTTCATTCACATTATTTTCTTTATACATGTACATTGATAACCTGAAGAACTGCAGCAACACAGATGTTTAAAAAAACATTTTCTTAAAAAATAAAAAACAATCCAATCTGCGTAGTTCTAAAACATTGTAACAAATTAAATTAATCTTGGTTCCTCTGGAGATTCTCTGCAGAGCTTTAATAATGTGGAAATTCATCCAGCAACTTCCTGTCGGCCTCTGTTTCACAGTCCGAGTCCGAATGTTTCGAGGTGTGTACCTCAAAGCGGAACTGGAACCGGCGGATCTTCCGGTGCGACGAGCGGAAATGTTGAACTGTTCCTTTAAAAGCTCGGTCGGCAGTAATGCGTCTCACAGAGACGACTAAACGTGTAGCATCCGTTCAGTTTGTAGTTTCCGACATTCCCGTTTTTCATCACAAAATATTTTCAGTCCTGGGGCTTCAGGAAAGCTTTCTTTGAGTTTTTCACAACTACGTTCTGGTTGACGTCGTCCTCGTCCATCGCTGCTCGCTCGCGCTTCTTTGCAAACTTCTTCTTCATGGTTCCCACTAAACTCTCGTACCTGAAACACAGAAACAGGAAGCTGAGAATCAAGACTCATTCAAACATCAGTGTGTAGGTGGACAGGAGCGCTAACTTTTTTGTTGACAGAATAACAATGAATTGATACGCAGCCATTATCTTAAAAAACAAAGTTTTTGCTTGTATGAAGAGGGCCGACCGTCTTTCGATAAAAGGGCTAAATTTTTATGATATGCTGAGTTTAGAAAAACAAAACAATGTGAAGCTGAAGGACCTTGTCGAGTGTTTATATTTCAAAATGAAACCGCATAAAGTGCATTTTCCAACCCAACTGCCCTCTGGACCGTTTCTATTCAGCGATATAACCGCCATCTTTGATTCTGTATCAAAGGATGACCAGCAGTGCCCTCTGTTGGATGGCAACACTAAAAAAATGTCTAAGCGATGTTATTAGCTAATCTATTGGAACTAAATTTATTCTAATAAATCATCCCTAGTCTGGATGATCATAATCTGCTCCCATTTTTACCTCAGAGCCATTTCTTCATCAGTGACGTCTGTCTGCATGCAGCTCACATCCTCCCCCTCTTCCTCCTTTTCATCTTTAGGATTCAGCAGCACCATCAGTTTCTGGAACAAATTGAATAAAACACTGTCAGATTGTCTTCACAGAATCACTTTAAACTAGGACTGGTTTTGCTGGTTCTTACCTCCACCTCTGGATTAAACCCTTTGAAGGACATACGGCCATAGAGCAAATCCTCACAGGGAACCAGGCTCTTCTCCTCAATGATCAAATTCCTGAAACAACAAACCGTGTGATGCTCTCCAAATAACCTGAACCAACAGCTAAATAAATAAAATGGAGTAAAGTCATAGGGAGGACAGCATTACTTAGCTTCCTCACTAAATATTTAGTTTACAAAGTAAATATTTAGCTTTCAATTTAAATATTTAGAATATATTCATACATGACATACATCATGTCATGTATCAATGACATGGTGAAAATATGACTTGGAAAAATTAACACATTTTTTCCTCTATGACAGGCTAAACAAAACATAATATTGCTGTTAATTTTTTTGCTGTGCAACTTTACAAACGGCACTCCGTAGCTTCTCCCTGATAAAACGTGGCAGGTTTATCCTCTGAGGTCTGTTGGTTAAAACTATCTGGTTAAATATAGTCATCAATATTTATTCAGGTCAAATAGAGCCAACAATAACATTCTGAAATTGATCTCAGATCGGTTGAAACTTTGACACTTACTCTTTTGCTTTAAGCTCCGGCAGATCCAGGTACCAGTGCTCATCACTGATTATCCTTTTCTCGTCTTCTTCCAGCTGCTTCTTCGTTTCGGCGTCCAGCCCTCTTTGCATGAACTACAGAAGAAAGTAAGTAATCGGTTACTGTAAACAACAGGGCAAAATACCCCAAATATGACTAAAACCTCATGATCTGAGATAAAAAGAAAGCCTATAATTTATATTAGGAAACGTTTTGTATAGTTTTATTTAAACATGTAGGATCGGCTACGTCCAACTCGACATCCCGCTGTTTATTTTTATATATTAATACAAAGTAATCATGCTAACTCCGGATGCTAACACTTACCTTCATCCTCAACAGGTTCTTAGACAATTTCACCGACTCCCCGGCCATTTTTGAATCGATCGACAGATAAACTAATTCTAACTAACCCGAATTAACTAAATTAACTTAACTAAAATGAGCATATGGTGTTTTGAAACTCAGCTACTTGCACGACTTGCGCCACACGTCGCTCAGTCTGATGAATCGAACCCCGAGCAACAGCCTGGATTTAACGATCAGCTTCCGGTTGAGCTTTTGTTTGGCGTCCCCTGCTGGTGAGGAGGAGAAGAATTTCGATTCTTTTTTTTTTCATTTATTGTTTAGGCATCTTTATTTGTGACAATGTACAACAAAAACAAGAATGTGGAAATTAGACAGGGTTACCATAAATAATAATAAAGGAAATGTCAGAATTGCATACGAATGACAGAAAATTCTACATAAGGTAATGTTCGTGCCACCTCATGTAAAAATAAATTAAGACAACAGATCACCCAGACTCTTAAGTTAGGAACAAATCATATGGTTGTTCTTCCTATTTGATCAGATAAGAATTAGACTGCAAGCATATATTGTTAAAATTCAATCAGGCAACAGACTTTCTCCTCAAAACTTAGTGTGGTTGATTAATAAGTTAATAAATAAATCTTTTGGATTTATTTTGCCCCTTTGTTGAAACTCAAATACGACATTTTCCCAATGCAATTGAACATTTGCTGATGTTTTTGAATAAATATAAAATGTTCCCAAAATACTTTGGAACAGGAACACATCCAGAACAAAACAGTGACAGACTGAGGGGGGGAGAAAGAACAGAAAGAACAGTTTACAGCAACTTCTTTAGGGCTTTAGCAGGTCTCTGATCCACTTGGTATTCACATCTGCGTTTGAAATTTTAGGCGAACCAGAGTTCGCATTCACACCTCCACAAATGAACCGGACTTTCTAGACAAATAAACCAGAGTTTGAATGAAGCGGACTGAACAGACTGTTTCACTCTCAATCTTAACTTTTTTTATGCTTTGAGGCCATTTAGGTTTTTAGTAGACCCAGACTTCATCTCTCAGGTAAGTCTGGGTTCCTGCTCTTCCTCAGATGAACTTGTGGATCACCACTTCCTTCAGAGACCGGAAGCACACCTCCCCTCTCTCGCCGTTCCTGATGTCTGTCAGCTCATCCTGCAGCTGAGCCACGGGACGACCCAGCTGGTACCCCAGGTCCACCAGCAGCTCCAGCAGCGCTGCTCGGTAGGGCTTCAGTCCGTAGCGCCTCACCGGAGGAAGAGCTTGCTGAGCGGCTGAGAAGGCCTGCTCCGGCTCGTCCAGGTCCCGGTAACACACGGCGATCGCAGCGAGGGCCGGGACGGTCAGGGTGGACTTCTGCCACGGCAGCAGCTTTTCCTGGATCTCCAGGACCGTCTGCAGCTGCTCCAGAGCGGCCTTGAACTGGCCCGCCCGCAGCAGCACGTGGGCCTGCTTCTGCTCGTGCTCGGTGAAGAACTCGGAGAAGTGGGCGGAGTGTCTGACGCAGCGGGTCGCGAACAGCTTGGCCAGGTAGTCCTGCAGGGCCAGGCGGCGCTCCAGAATGTTCTCGGGGTTGAAGTTTCCCGTCAGCAGTTTCGGGGGCAGAAGAACATCCTCCAGCTCTTCGTCAAACTCCTCCAGCAGTTTGTGGTGAAGCCGCAGGAAGTCACTGTAGCGGCGCTCGATGGAAACACGGCGGGAATCAAAGCTGCCGGAGCGCATCACGACGATCTGATACGCCTAGACAGAGAGGAAGACAACATGGACACAGTTGGCGAGGGATGCACCGATTGCAGGTTTCTGTCCGAGCCAATGTTTGAAAAGCCTGACCTGCCGATTCCGAGTTTGGAAGATATCCATTTATTTAGTCTAAAATTTTGCTAAAAATAGCCAGAAAGACACTGATTTGGGGTGGCTATTGTTAATTGCAATCATGGAGACATGACCTTGTGCTTGGCTCTGTCAGTGAAACCTCTCTCACAGCAAAGCAACAGGAAACAGTGTCTGATTGTAGAGCTTTGCCAGGGGGATAAGATCTGCTTCACGTGTCAGCATTGGCCGATCATCCTCCCAAAATTAAGGAACCAGCAGGGTCACATGAACATTTCATGTTACTTTGACATGAATACAACGCAAACAAAGTGCAGTGTGTGATGTTTATGAGTCGAATACGCATCAAAATGAGCATCGATGACGTTCTGTCGGATGAATGTGACCTGACCGTTCACATTCAGGTCACATTTGAAAAATCGGTTGGATATTGAAGTACAGTGGGCTGCATTCGAAAAAAATCCGATCTGTGTTGTTCAGACTACCATGAAAAGATTGGATACGGGTCACATTAAGGCAAAAGAAATGGGTCACTTCGGGCTGCAGTGTGAACGCAGCCTAAGAGTGTTTTTATGTTGCTTATAGGCAACTTTACCTCCTGACAGTCCAAGTCGCATCTCTTCTCATTGGCTCTTTCTGATCCTCTGCTGTTTACATGCCTTGTTGCTGAAATATGCTGTACAAATCAACTTGATTGACGCATAAACATCACATAATTTACACGTTGTTTGCACACTGTAACGGGAAATGTTCATGTGCATATGAACCCGCTGGCGTTCCATATGTTACTGTTACCGTCGACTCTCTCTCCTGACTGTTTCACCTGACTTTCCCACTCATTTTTTTCCCTCAGTCCCAGTTGATTCCACTTGTTTACTGTCTGCATCATGTTTCTGCTGATTTTCTCACCACGTATTTGTTCAGCAGCTGGTCCACAACTCGACTCGATGGGATCTCAAACAGCAGCCGGACCGGTCGCTCCTTTTGCTTCGCCAGCTTCAAGTTCTGTTGGAGCTCCTTAGTGGTTAAGCTGGAACAACCGGGCCTCTCACCTAAAACACCCAGAACCAAACACAGACCTGAATCAGTCGGAGGAAAACTGTCCTGTCCCAACAGTTAGAATGCATAAAAACCCACTGATCTGGCTCTGAAATGTTTTCTTTCTGATCTACAGAGATGCATTACCAGGATCCAAACCAACAATATGACATAAACAGTGAAAAACCAGATAGAAAACTAATTTTTAAGATTTAAACACTAAATTTTATTGCTTTTACATTCAGTCCTGATCAACATAATTAAAAAGCTCTTTAAGTAAGAATGAATTTCTACAAAATAATGACAACTGAAATATCCAGCATAAAATGAGATACTAAAGTGACTGACCTAATTTAACAGAGGTCCGGCTAATTAGTGCTTGTAGAAATTAGTTTCTCTGACATTAAATCTGATTGTGATTTTTTTTTTACTTGACTGATTTGAAAAAGCAACAAAAACAGTAAAATATCCAAGGAAGTGAATACTTTTAATAGTCACTGTACATGTATATAACCATAGTTGATCAGTTACCCATACTCTATTTATTGGCTACAAATTTATTTTAGCATTTGTCTTAATGTATATCCTATGTAGAGCCAGATTTAGAAGGATAAGGTCCCCTGGGCTACAGCCAGTTTTGGTGTGCTATAAAAAAAAGAAGAATCTCTATTCATACAAATTACAGTAAATTAACAGGCAGGTAAATCAACAGGTGGTTTACAATGTCCAATAAGAGATTGCTCCATGTTAGATCCAAACGTATATACTATAATTTTATAATTTTTAAATATTTCAGTATTGTGTAGATTAAATAGAAATGTAATAATATAAAAATTTCATACTACATATACATTTATGAGTTTTATATAATATACAGTTCTGTAAAACTTGCATTTAGTATAAAACACCCTAAATATTTTCCCCCACACCTGAAATAACTTGCCGCCCTGGGTTACTGCCACTGTAACTTCTTTGTAGAATCCAGACTACATCCTGTGAAGTGTTGCCTGAACGATTGCAGCATTTTCATGTCGGTTTGAACACCTTCCTCATTGTTTTTTAGGGGGGAAATGCTCTGAAAACTCTTCTGCTTCTCTTTTAACCTTTTCCTTTCCACTCATTAAAAATAGCTTTTATTCTCTGCTGAAACTGTGGAGGATTTTCATAACTTGGATCTAATTTGTTGCTTCAACAGTGAAATATAATCTGCAGACTTTTTCTTAATAAACACACATCTGCAGGTATGTTGAACTCCGTGTAGTTTTGCATTTTTGAGACAAAATAATCTGTTCAAGGTTAAAGTTCTGATTTTAAAGATAGTTAGAGGTCATCGTGATAAAGATCGTTTAATGAACCTGGTCTTGTTTCATGTTCTGATGAACCCAATCTCAAATCTTACATAACTTTGATCCATCAGAAATAAAGCTGAACTTTAACAGAAAGCTCTCCACTTGATAAAAACAACAGTACCTGCAGCCATCTGGTCCAAATCTTCAGAGCCCTCTGCTGGAGAAACCCAGAGGTCAGATCTGCTGCTGGGAGACGTCCAGGTTCATGCTCCTCTCATTACTGGACCAACTGGATCAGCTGTACTGGTTCTATCATTAAACTGGTTCTGGGACTGGACGGGTCTGTTGCAGGCTGTGAAGCTCCTGCTGAAGTCAAGAACTTAGAACATATTTGTGTTAAAATGAGGAAGTTCTGCTGATAAAATAGGAAGTGAAGGAAGTGAAACAAAGTCCAGCAGTAAACTGACAGAGGAGCGCTTGTTTTAGAGCAGCCGACACAGCAGCCGGGCGGAGTTAGCCTCAGTGAGAGTGAAGGATTTGATATAATCTTGGTTCCGTGGCTTAAACTGAAATCAGGCTCTGTGACAAAGAGGAGAAAAAATACAATTTCTTTAAGTTAAATTAAAGGAAAGCTTTAATGTCAGAAATGATAAAAATGGTTTTAAGAAGATCATATTTGTCCCGCCCTCTGCTTCATGGTGTTACCTGGCCGTTAGCTGTCAGAAATGAAGCATCTCTAAGGGCTGCAGCGCCACCCAGTGGCCGACGGCGTAGGGAACAGAATTTCTCACAAGAACTGCTTCCAGCGGCTTGAAGGAGCGGCTTCAAAGGTGAGTCCTGGTTCTGGTTCGGTTTCGGACTCCAATAGAGACACACCTGTGTGTTTTATTGAGTACAAACAAGTTTTCTGAGGCGTTTAGGTGCGTTCAGGTGCTTTTGTGTTTGTTGTTTTTGTGGAAAGTGAAACTAAAAAGTTGGAGCAGGAACTTAAGACAAACACTTCATGTTTCACCGCTTAGGGTTAAAAAAAGTTAAAGCCAATATTAGTACTACTACTAGTTATGAAAAAATAATTTTACCGGGTGTCTTTAAAAGCAGTGATATGTTCTGCTGGCTGATTTCGGATAGTTGAACGTGTCTCAGCTGCTGTTCCAGCTGCTCCAGGAAAACTTTTCAGAAGTAAGAGGCTAAAGTTTTAAATCCTGTCAACTGGATTAAAACAAACTTAATGTGTGGATGAGAGGATCAGGGTTGTCAGATCTAACAGTTTCCAGTCGTAACCCAACTTAAAAAGAAATTCAAACTAATGAAACTCAACAAGATAATGGTAAATCACACTTCTTTAAGTAAGTAGCGTCATCAATAATATTTGTGTTGCTGGCACACAGCCATAAAGTTACCTAAAAAAGAAGTAATGAATCGTTTTTATCATGATTTCTATTGTTATCAAAATAGTACCACAAAATATTGTGATAAAATTCTAAGTCTTATCATCCACTGCTAATACTCAATTACTAATCATTTATGATGTCACATTTAACATATTCTGATATATCAATTTAGAAATAATTTTCTTCTATTTTCTAAGCGCCCCCAATATTGTGAAAAGTAGCCCACATTTTAACAACCTGTCCAGTTGTTCAATAGCAGGAAACCTGCCCAACCTGGCAACACTGGTGAAGGGTCAAAAGCTGAGAACATGTGGGAAAATTAAATGGTTTCTGCTCCGTCTGCAGGTGAACATGGAGAGTCTGCAGGATCAGGACAAGCTGTTGCTGCTGGTGGAGAAATACTGCAACCTCAGGTCATGTCCAGTACTACCTTTCAAGGGACTAGGAGAACCAGGGAGGCCTTCACCCCTGTCAGTCTGCAAACAATCAAAAAAAACAGTTATTCGAATACCCTCCTTGGACATAGAGTCTGACTCCCTCGATCGTTCTGGATCTGTAAAAAAAGGTCAGAAACATTCTGCAGAAGCACAGCTGGTCCTGCTGAGTGTTCATGCAGCAGCTTTTTACATTAATAAATCATTCCAGATGTTTCCAGCAGCTGTTTGTTTCCTACTGGAGCAGGTAGCACCTCTGTATGACAGTGTTTCCATAGTAACATGGTTTTAGATGATTTTTGCTATAAAATTGATCATATTTGAAAAAGAAAAACTTTTGGCATCTGTAACGAAACTTCGGATTGCTCCACAGCCCAGAATGTCCCGAGGCAGCTGGCGAAGATCGCGGATTCGGCACCGATCGCCGAGCAGAACCTCCAGACACAAGATGGTGAGACCATTAAAAAAAACCCTCAGTTACCTGGACAGTAGCTGCATCTTTAGCCGATTCTCTGGGTTTTAACAACACGACCACAATTAATCATAAGTCAGCTGGTTGCATTCCTACTACCTTTCTTTCTTTATCATAAAAATTTACAGAAGAGGCTGAACTTATTCTACAATTTATTTTTCTTAAAAGGTACAAGATTTGTTTTGATCTGAAATCTGAAAGTGGAAATAAATTGAACATTTTAGTTTTATTATGAAAGCTAACAAAATCAAACTTTTAATGTAGTATGTATTTGGAATATCGTTTTTGCGGTTCTCGGTGAGTTTTATTTTGTAGCAACGGGGGCAAAAGTGTCTCTTTGAATGGGGAAGGTTGCTGATCCCTGGTCTGCATGAAGGAGGTTCTGATCGGTTTCCTGTGTTGCTGCAGAGATCATCCAGAGACTCGTCAAGCTGATGATAACACTTGGAGATGACATTAATGTGAAGGTGTGTTCTGAACCAGAACCAGAACCAAAACACGACCAAACTCTGTTTTAATCACAGTTTCTTTCCCCGCTCAGCTCAACCAGAACCCGGCCCTGCAGCAGCAGCTCCAGAACCTGAACTACAACCTGTTTGAGAGGCTGACGTCCACCGTGCAGAACCTGGTGGTGCCACCGGACCAGGCGGCATGCCTAGACGGTCTGGTCCAGAAGCAGAGGATCGCCTGGGCCTTTGAGGTGACCAGCAGACTGTCCTCCGTCACTGTGGTCCAACGCAGGGCGATACAGCAGTTTGGAGCCCGATACATCGCAGAGAACCACGCTGGCTGGGTCCAGCAGCAAGGAGGCTGGGTAAGAGGGCTGGTTCTGATCCGCTTTGATTACTGAAATTAATGGCTGTGCATTCATTACATACTTGTTAAAATTAAATAATATTGAACATATTTTTGCATTGATTAGTCCCTCCAGGATTTTGTGATTTGTTTTTATGATTTTTTTTTTACAATCAAAACCAAAGATTTTGACATTTTGCAATATTTGTGCTTTGATATGACAGTAAATGTGACTTTTTGTTACTTACCATATCGATTGCTGACAATAACTTAATATCTAGTAAACCTGAGGCAGCAGTGTCATAAAAACAAGAAACACTGCCACCTGCTGGTAGGAGTTAGCATCACTTGGTCAACACAATGTTTTTGACCATTTTTCACAAAATTTGTACAAAAAACTTGGAGGAACCGATTTATGTCATTTGGCATCTGGAGCCTGAAGGGCCACATAAAAAGTTATGGTGGACCCGATTTGGCCCCAGGCCTCGAGTTTAACACGTGTGTTAGAATAACAGCTTTTAAGATCAGGAAGCAATCAGGAGAGATATTTTCTCCAACCTGAATCCTGTCCCAGATGTTCCAGATTTTGATCCAGTTGAGACATTTTCTAACAGTAACTTTGTTTTCTTTATTTATTTCTACAAAACAGGTTTTTCTGTGAATTCTGCTCTTTTTTTTCTTTATTCTCTCTCTGATCTTGTTTCTCTGTGTCCATCAGGAGGAAGCTTTTGACTGAACAGCGGATCGGTCAGACGGAGAAAACTAAACTGTGAACGACTTGAAGATATTTATTTTTTCTAATTAAGATTTGAAGTTTATGGAATAAAATCAAAGTGAAGAAGGAAAACTGATCATCACATTTGGAATATTTTTGATTTTTGTTTGTTTGTTTGTTTGTTTGCTTGTTTCATTTTTGGGGTATTTCTGTGATCTGAACCACATCTGTCTGATTTTGGTAATCAGACAGACCAAAATCTCATAACTGAGCATAATTATATAGTTATAACTCCATTTTGTGAATGGAGTTGGGGGGAAAATGAGGAAAAAATTAATTCACTAAAGAGTCACAAATGCATTTGTAAGTAAAGGGAAAAACAAAAAATATATAGTTTTAAAATCAGTAAAATTTAATTTATGTTTTTAAAAATATAATCTACTGGACCTAAGCTGAAAAAATAAAAATAAATGGCAATTATGTCATAAAACATTAGGTAAAATTATCAATTAGTTGTTGTGTTCATTTGAAAATAAATTCCTGTAGTAGATTTTGTTGAAATAACTAACTTTTTCATGTATGTAGCTCTTTTGTTTAGCTAGACCAAAGATAAAAATAGCTCACATGGTCGTAAAGGTTGCTGACCTTTGACTTAACCCATAACCCCAAAAAGTTCTGGTCCTCCGCAGTTGGACCGGACCTGAGTCCAGAACAGATCCATCTGTCTTTAGAAGGTGACCGTCCCAAAAATGTCCCAAAAAGGCAAAAACATAAATAAAAAAAATAAACATACACACCCTCAGAAGCAGCTGCTCCTTCAGGCTGAAGCCAATTTAATAACGATCCGTGTTTGCACTTCCGGTTGCTGCTACAAAATAAAAGCCTCAAAGGTCGCTAGCATAAAAGTTTTCTAATTAGTTTGGATCTGGGCTCTGGTTCTGAGTTCAAAATGTATTTATTTTAACTAAGATAAAGTTTTCTAAAAAAAAAATCTTGTTACTTTATTTTAATCTTGTGGTTCTTGTAGTTTGAACCAGAGGTCAGCAGAGCGCCCAAAAATTGTACTCAAGTAAGAGTAGCTAACATGTTTTTACTCAAGTACAAACTGACCAAGAAATTACTCAAATAAGAGTAAAAAAAAGGTATTTTGTAAAAATAAAAATAAGACAAAAAGGTCACTCAAGTAGTGAGTTACTAATCTAAACATAAGTCTTTTTATATTTAAAAATTAAGTAATCAGACAGACCAAAATATAAAGTTGGAAATATTGGTATGTTAAAGATCAACATGAAAATAATTCATATGAATAATATCATTACTATTAATTAATTATTAATAAAATTAGGAAAAAGAACACTTTTTCCAATCCAATTTCATTCAATATAAAACCTACAAAACACTACAAGCATGTGTATGTGTTTGCTGAATTTGTGGTGAAAACAAGCTTGTTCTTTTTTTATTAATTAAATTATTCAAAGTGGGTAGAGTATCCTTGAATTTTACTCAAGTAAGGATGTAAATACTTCATAATGAAGTAGAAAGTACAGCCTCTTTAAAATACTCATAAGTATATATTTTCAAATGTTACTCAAGTAAATAATGTAACTTGTTACTACCCAACTCTGGTTTTAACACAATCTGTCTTACTATTATGGTTAATATTTCATATCTGGAATTGAATCGAACCAGTGAAGGAACCTGAATATTATTACAAGTTCTGAGAAGTTCTGGATCATCTGGAGGTCCAACTGTTTCAGATCTGCAGCGGATTTATGGAAACTGCCTGTTGAGTTTTATGATGAAGAGGCCGGTAGTGAACGTCCGGTTCGTGTCTTCTTCTCCTCTGTACCTTGATGTTCGGTTTGGTCCTCCGCTTAACTCCGGATGTGGTCCGGAACTTTGGGCGTAATCGATCTGCTTCCAGCGGACTTGACATCAAACCGACACTGGTTCCTGGTTCTGACCCAGAGCGGAGCACCCGGCGGACAGGGTCCATGCCGGACCCGAACTTGGAGCCGATCCGGGATTCAGGTGAGTGTCAGGTTTGACCTGTTACTGAGGTTCGGTTCTCATCTGAATCAGCTAGAATAGGATCCAGCCCACTTTCCTGAAACAGATTCTGTTGGACCTGACTGAGAGTTAAACCAGAGCAGCACCGCTTAAATTAATTTGTTGGAAAATAAATCGGTTTGATTTTGATTATAAGACAAATAAAAAATAAATAAATTATGAAACTCATAAAATTTTCAAATTCAGAAATTTTCGTGTTTTTTTTTCTTAAAATTTTAAACTTTTGAACTCAGAAATGTTAAGGTTTTTCTAGAATATTTCTGAGACTAATCTCAGAATTGCTAAGTTGTTTGGTATTTTACAGACCTTTTTTCTACCTACAATGACCATATGATTTTTGATAAAATAGAAAAATTAAATAAAAAATCTGCGGAACTACAGAACCTTGAAAACTGAATAAACCGACCTCATTATCAATCAAAAACTGAAACCACATATTATACAGAATCATCGCGCATAGTGATGCATTCTAAGCTTTTGTTTATTGTAATTTTAATATTTATGGTTAACAGATAGAAACCCAAAATTGAGTCACAGAAAATTAGAATATTTAAAAAAAAATTAATGGAAACTCAAAACACCTGGGTAATCCATCTGCACCGTTACAGGGAGCCACAAAAAGTCATTGCTGAAGAAGTTGGTTAGTTCTGTACTCAAGTAGAAACTGTCCAAGAAATTACTCAAATAAAAGTAAAAAGGTATTTTGTAAAAAAAAATAAATAAAATAAAAATAAGATAAAAAGGTCACTCAAGTAGTGAGTTACTAATCTAAACATAAGTCTTTTTAATTTAGTGGAAGAAGGAAGTGTGCAAGGAAAAGGTGCAACATCAACAAAGAGAACCTGTTTTGAGTTGAAAAGTTTTGACTTTTCAAACTCAGCAATTTCCACAATTTTTTCTAGAAAGTTTCTGAGATTAATATCAAAATTCCTCATTTTTTTGGCAGAAATTTGCTCTTCCTTTTTTTTAAAACTGTCTCCAGTGGCCCTAATTTGTTGTACGAGGAGAAGTGGAGAGGAGCAGAATCCATGTGGTCTCCTGGTTCTGGTCCTCTAGGTTTTCTAAAGTCAATACAGCTGTCCACCAGGACATTTTACAGAGCATCATGCTTCTTCTTATATATGTTTTCGTTAGATAATTTGTCAGTTTGATTTCAAACTGATGAAGATCTCAGAACATCTCTAGGTTTCTATCTGGAGAAGTCTTTCCTGTCCCGTTTCAGAGGAATAAACTCCTGCAGGAATCCTCAGAGGGATCATCTCTCCCCAGCTGACTTCCTGTTTGTCTCAGTGAAACATGATCCGACTTGTTGCTGGTATCGGACTGGTGACCTGCAGTCTGTAAACATGTTGATGCATGGCTGAGACCTGCAGAGACTCGGGCCGAGTCTGAGTCCTGCCCTGATTCAGCTGTTTTTTGCCGCAGCTTTCTAACTTCCAGAAACCCAGATCGGTTCTGTCTCACCTCCTTCTAATTTTGGCTGAAAGATTTACTTTTCAGACATCTTATCGATCGACCAACAATTATTTGATAAGCAGCCTTTTTTCTCTTGATGGTAGAGTCTTAAGGAGCTTATCAAGTGTTTATATTTCAAAACAGAACCGGATAAAGTGCGTTTTCACCCCACACCGGACTCCGTTTGGACCGTTAGTCTTTTCCGTTCTCATAACCCCTCCGCCATCTTTGTTTCTGTATTAACGTTGTGCATAAGGATGACTAGTGGCGCCCTCTGCTGAATGGAGGTCAAACTGCAACACTAAAAGAAGGTGTAAGAGAATGTCAGTGGTCAATCGATTAGAACTAATTTTAATCTAATAAACAATTAATCGTAAGTAGATTCATTGCCAGCATCCTTAATCACAAACCTGTAAATATGCAGGTAACTCGATCCTGCAGAGCTGTTGTGGGTCAAAGGTCATGACTCTGTTAATTATTGAATGGAAACACTTCCATTTCCTGCAGGGAAACCTGGTGACCTCATAACCCACTTAAACAGCGAAGAAAGCAAAAACAGAAACTAGGAAAAAAAACTCCAAATATTGAATATTTTTTACTCAAATTTCCATGTTTTTCTAGAAATAAAATCTAAGACTCAAAATTTAGGAGTTTTTCTGGCAAATTTTTGACTCTTTAAACTCAAAAATTTGTAAGTTTTTTTCTCAAACATTACTAAGCTTAATCTAATTTTTTTTTGGCAGAATTTCAGTCCTTTTTTTCTGTCTGCAATGGTCCTAATATGCTGTTGTACAAATAGTACAATACTATCCGCCATTTTGTTTTTGTCATTTGTCCGGATGCATAGTACAAATATGCAGCCGTTCGTTCTGCGCATGTACGCTTTCACACGTCCGACTGGGAATTTGTAAACTAGTGGCTGAATCTCAATAAAAAATTTATAATTTCACAGAACATTTTTTAAACTCATCAAATTGTTATCACTGTCATATTTCTTCATCATCCAGCTTGTGCATGTGACTCTGCTTTATTATCAGATTTTTGTGACCATCTCGTTCCTCCAGAGGTAAAACGTTCAGATTTCCGAATCAGGAATCCTCAAGCAGATTAATGCGGTTAACGGCTGCATGTTGCAGAAGCGATCTGATTTCACCTCCTCCGTTTCTGTATTTGCGGATAAAAATAACCTGAAGCACTCTGATCTATAAATATGTCCCAGTTGGGCTCCACTCCAAGCTGATGGAGCCACAGGCAGGCAGGAAGAGACCAGGGAGTCCAACAAAACGCTGGAAACATCCTCAGAGCGTTTAGGAGAAGTTTCTGGGATACACTGCAAAATACAAAGTCTAACCAAGTATTTCTGGTCTAGTTTCTAATGGAAATATTTTGAAATAAGACAAAACTAACTTACAGGTAAATTTTAAGCAAGGCAGGAGCTTGTTTTACGTAAATGGTTTCTTCATATTGATAAAAAGTTTCACTGGTTGATTATTTAATTTGAAAGATGTATTACACTTGATTGTTAACCGGAGTAGCAAAAAATGTAAGATAATAAAGAAAGCGTAAACTAAAGGAATGCGGTTGTTGAATTTTAAGTATAAAACATTTATTTTCTAA